CTTGTTCTAATAGTTTAACTTGTATTGAGTCTATATCAAGAATATGAAAGGAATCTGAGATATATTTTCTAAGCTAAGAAACATGAAAAACATTGTGGAGATTGGAAAGATAAGGTGGAAGAGCAACTTGGTAAACGACTGACCCTATTTTTTGGAGTATTTGAAACGGACAATATACCTAGGACTCAATTTCCTAACTTTCAAAGTTCTGCCTACACCATTGGTAGGAGAAAGTTTTAAAAAGACATGTTCTCCTTCTTCAAAAGCCAAAGGTTTATGCCTATTATCAGAATAAGTTTTCTGTCTGCTTTGAGCTTTTTCAAGATTTTCCCTGATTATTTGAATTTTTCTTGAGGTTTCTTAGACTAATTCTGGTCCCAACAATTGCTTTTCCCCTTTTTCATACCAACACACTGGAGATCTACACTTTCTTCCATAGAGTGCCTCATATGGAGCCATTCCAATACTAAAGTGGTAACTATTATTTTAGGCATACTCTACCAGTGACAAGCATCTATCCCAGCTACCTACTTGTTCAAGAATACAAGCTCTTAGCATATCCTTTAAAGTTTGAATGGTTCTTTCCGTTTGACTATTAGTTTGAGGATGATATGCGGTACTAAGTCTTAACTTAGTCCCAAAGGCTCGTTATAAAGACCTCCAAAATCTAGAAGTAAATCTAAGATCTCTATCTGACACAATACTTAGAGGTACTCCACGTAGTTTGACAATTTCTTTTATATACAATTGGGCTAACCTTTCAATGGAATACTGAGCTCTAATTGGTAAAAAATGTGTAGATTTGGTTAATCGATCAATAATTATCCAAATTGCATCATATCCTTCTTAGGTTCTTGGTAAACCCATCACAAAATCAGTGGCTATATTTTCCCACTTCCACTCTGGTATGTCTAATGATTGAAGTAATCCTGAAGGTTTTTGATGTTCAATTTTCAGTTTTTGACAAACTAGACATTTTGAAACATACTTAGCAATATCCTTTTTCATTCCTATCCACCAAAGGGCCTGTTTGGTGTGATGTATAAGGCCTGATAGTTAGAGATGGAAAAACGGGTTTAGCCCGCCGGGCTGGCCCGCCCCGCCCGCCAAACGGGGCGGGCTGAGTTTTCCAAACCCGCTGCCCGCCATCCTGCCCGGGCTAGATTTTTTAATTTTTTTTTTCCTTTTTTTAGTGTAAAATCTCACGAGCTTGGCGGGCAGCCCGCCCCGCCGGCCTAAACTAGGCGGGGCGGGCCAATCCGCTTTTTGGCGGGCACGGGCGGGGCGGGCAGCCTGCTTTGCCATCCCTACTGATAGTATAAGCTTATACTATACATTATGACATTTTTAATTATTTGGTATGATCATTGTATAGTATAACATTATACATCAGCTTCCTTAATACATCAGAATGATGTATAACTTAATCAGGGTTAGGAGGGTGGGATTAGCCCTGATAAAAAATGGTTTATTAAGTAAATCCCCTTCTTCCCTTTCTACCCCATTTCTGCTTCATCCCCTTTCGTCTCTATCCTTTCTCGGCAAAACGACGTTGGCCACTTGAGGGAACATAAGCAACTGGTCCAGGCCTTGGATGAGACCTTTTTGACATTGGTGGGGACATGGTGGTCCAACTCAGTGATGGACTCAGCGACCTTGCGATTGACGTACTTAAGAAGCTCGACGGGGACGAGGCAGGGACAAGAGAGAGAGAGAGAGAATCTGGAAATAGAGAGAAGCAACGTTAAGTTAAGCCCTCACTTGCAATAGTTATAGTTCTGCAAACCAAGGAGTTAATTTCTCGTTATTTTTTCTTTCAATTCGGAATGGAACAATTTGATGTTTGTGTTTGTTGATGTACCTGAAACATGTAATAATCCTGATTTTAAATGAATTTCATGCATGTTATGTCAGTGAGTATTGAGCAGGGAATCACTCTAGAATCTTATATGTAATTTTAAGCGTATTTGGGATTGCATAACGTAAGTGCTTCATTTGCGCTATTTGGGATTAATTTTAATTATTTTTTTTCATGTCTGTGTGTTTGCCTCTCTCTTTTTTGCTCAAAGAATGAAAGAATGTAAAAGAATGTAAATTCAGGTTGATGCTCGAATATATTTGTGGAAATGGAACACTTGTATTGTGATATCAGATCTGGATGAGACAATTACAAGGTTAGGATATATCTTAGTTTTTCCAAATAGATAGTATACTCTGACTGGGTACTGATTAGTATTTATTCTTTTGATAGTTACTTGCTTTTCCATTTTTGTTTTGATCTTATCTTGCAAATAAAGATAATTGGTAAGTTGGTAGATACCAAAAAATGCTCCTTTAGCAACGTTTTATATGTTAGGAACGTGGCTTCCATACTCAAGAGGGGGGTGAATTGAGTATTACAAGATTTTTGCAAAAGCCCCATTCTAGTTTCTAAATAATCATTTCAAGTAAACTTTGATATGTGGAAAACTAATCAATACATTCGGACAATCTATAATATATAATATGTCACAATTATAGAACTTATACTAGCACATACAAGATATCAAAGAAGCAATTAAAGTGCTTAGAAATAAAGAGTTTAGAGTTTAGAGAATTGCAAACACAATATATCCTGGTTCGGTCACCACCACTTGTGACCTACGTCCAAACTGAAGCCGCTCGATCAACTTTTTCACTAATGGTCAAGCTTCATGGGTGCTTGACAAACCTTTACAATCTTCCAAGATTTCAGATTCTTGGTAACCTTTCAATCTCCAAGTTTACGGGTACTTGGTAACCTTACAATTCACTCCAAATTTACTTAGGTATTTGGTCACCTCTCAAACAATGGGTCTCACAACCCTTTCAACTCAAGAATACAAGAAGAGAAATATTTAGAAATGAATATACACTCTCAAAGTGTGGATATACAACTTGAAGCACTATGGGTATATGAATTTTCAAGATATGAGCTCAAATATGTTTGATCTTTGAAAGATATGAAAGAATATGCAAATGATAGTGTAGAAGCTCTCAAAGTATGCTTAATATGCGTAGGAATGATGCCCAATGTTTTTGAGTCATTGGGAATGCATATATAGTGTTTTCATTGAAAATTAGCCGTTTATAGCCGTTGGAAAACTAGCCGTTGGTAGCCGTTGGGATCTCATTTGAAAAACTAGCCGTTTATAGCCGTTGGGATCACTTTTGAAAAACTAACCGTTTTATAGCCGTTGGGATATGTTGCAGTGGTAATCGATTCCCAACTTGACAACAAGAATACTGTTTTGTATTTTGGCTATAATTTGAGTTATACTTGTCGGATTGATGTGATCTTGGTATTTGGAAAGATAAAAGAGAGATATACAACTTTTATGAGAACACAAGATCCAAATCCATCATATTAGATACAAAAAATTGTATGGAAGACAGAAGCAAAATTAAGCAACAAATTTTAAGTTCAAATATGTTCTAGCTTGCTTCCAACTACTTTTTGTGAAAGATCTTGACTTGATAAATATGTTTTGAAGTTATAAAATATGTCAAGGATCTTTTCCATGAATTTTTTAAATTTCTCTCAAGTATATTAAGGTTATGATTATTGAATTTGAAAAACACATTTACTTTGAGAAAAAAATTTGAGCTCATGCAATGCAATCTATCATATACCCTCACATATATTCTAAGTCATAAAGATATATTCTAAATATGATTTTAGACTTAGCTTCATGTCTTGTGTCTTGGATCTTTTCTTGAACTTGATGCTTTGACTTGTTGAATATGACAATGCTTGACACTTTGTTGGTTTTGATTATTTTTCATCATGGCTATGATATTGAGCTTTTCTTAGATGTTGTCCATGGTTAGTTGTCTTTGATCTTGTTATTGCTCTTCTAATTATTCCTTGTCGCTCTTGATCCAATGATCTTGCCACTTTGATATGACATCACTCTTCTTGTGTGGCTACATTATACATCTTCAATATCCACATATGGTTGATGCTTTTTGCTCTTGATCAAATGATCTTGCTTTTTTGTTGTTGTCACTTTGTTATCATCAAAATATACCTTGTATCTACATTATATATCTATTGACATTGAGTAAATCAATGGTTCAATCAAACATGTTCTTCCTATATCAACAATTATAGGTCCGCACTGTGATGTATTTCCCAAAAGCTTCCTAGTTCATGCTTTTTTTTATCAAAGAGAAAGCATATCACACCCAACACTTTCTTAAGATATATGGCAGGGTTGGTTCTATTATGCTATGTGAATGAACTACTCTATTTTATGGTGTTGAACAAGTAAATGCTCCATGAATCTTGTTTCTTTTGAGCCTAGCATGTTTTTTTAATCTCATGGGTCTCCACAAAATATATTTGTAGGCAACTAGGCATGTGTTACTTTAAGAAACTAAATAAAGTGTGAAGGTCTTGTGAACCCCAACATCATGAAAACCGACTAGCATAAACCCCAACAATTGTAAATTAGTCTCCTAAATTACATTCTATTTCCTAATATATCACTACTTGCATTGAATATATGTTTCATTTTTATACAAGTTTCCATCATTATATTAGTATAAGCCACTCATGTGAATTGGTCAGGCTTCATATTTTCCTCACAATGGTATCTTGTTTATTTACTCTGCTTTCTTTTTGTGCAGGGGAAGTAGCTTAGAAAAAGATAAAACTTGTCTTTTTTCGTGATTTGAATTATGTGGATCCTAATGAAAGGTTTGATCCAAATGGATGGCTAAATGACCCAAATGGATGGCTTGATGATACAACTGAGCTCCTTAATATCATGTCAATATGGTTGATGATGGAACAAGCCTTTTTGGAGTCAGCGATTATATATATTGTGTCTTATCTACATATGTGTTGTGCGGTTCAAAGATGACGTGAGAGATTATCACTAAGGCAACGAGCTATACCAAGGATAAGAGAACAATCAAGGGTAGCATTCATAGGGAGGCTAATAAATGATGATGTTGCTTGTGTAGAACAACTCCGAATGAATACTTACACATTTCAAGTATTGTGTTCTCTTGTACGTGTTAAGGGTAAGCTAAAGGAAGATGGGTTAGTATCAATAGTAGAACAAGTAGCTATGTTTTTACACATATTAGCTCACCATGCTAAAAATCGTGTCATCAAGTTTAAATTCCAACGGTCGGGGGAAACTGTTAGTAAATACTTCAATTTAGTTTTAAAGTGTGTGCTGAGGTTGCAAGAAATTTTAATGAAGCTACCAGATCCAGTTTCTGAGAATTGCACTGACGATAGGTGGAAATGGTTTAAGGTATGAATTATATTATTTTTCGATTTTGCATTGTTTGTACTTATTTCACATGAATTAAATTGTTAAAGGTTGTTTACTTATCTATTACAGGGTTGTCTTGGAGCTTTAGATGGAACTTATATTACTGTTAATGTTCCTGAGGTTGACAAGCCAAGATATAGAAGTCGAAAAGGTGAAATTGCCACAAATGTGTTTGGAGTGTGCTCACGAGGCATGAAATTTGTATATGTGTTGCCGGGTTGGGAGGGTTCAGCTTTAGATGCTAGGGTATTGCACGATGCAATTAATAGGAGAAATGGCCTTAAGGTTCCAACGGGTAAGAACGTGTTAGTCATTTTATCACAATATATGGTATATTGAACCTTACTTGTTCTATTAAATAGGAAAATATATAATGGACCTTACTTGTTTTATTAAATATGACACTACTATTTGGTTGATGCTGGATACACTAATGGGGATGGGTTTCTTGCCCCTTATAGGGGGACAATGTACCATCTAAGCGAGTGGAGACATGGACATGTTCCGGCAACTCCTCAAGAAGTTTTCAATAAGCGACATGCTCAAGCTAGAAATGTCATAGAAAGGACATTTGGGTTATTGAAGATGCGTTGGGCAATTCTTTGAAGTCCAAATTTTTATGCCGTTAAAACTCATAACCAAATTATTATTGCTTGTTGCTTATTGCACAATTTGATCAGGAGGGAAATGGATATAGATCTTTTAGAGATAGAGCTAGGTAACATGTCTATTGATAAAGAGGTGGGACGAAGAGCTACATAATAGCATAGACACCGTTGACACCATTGATACAAGTGAAGCATGGAGTGCCTAGAGCCTAGACTCGCTAAGGCTGTCTGTGACATTAGGCTCCTGGCAGGCTTCAGCGGGAGGGGTGCATGAATGAATCAAATTATCACCCGAACAAGAGGGATCCAGAAGCTGTGTAGGTATGAAAGTGTATAGTTGAGGATGACTTAATGAATTCATATGTACTACTTATACTATTAAGAACATCTACTTTTCGGTAGCCCATAATTTAAGAACTTCATAGTTAAGCTTGCTTGACTTTGAGAAATTCTAGGATAAGTGGCCTCCTGAAAAATTTCTCAGAAAATATGTGAGTGAGAACAAAACACGCTGAAAAATCTTGTGCTTATTTGTAGGAACAGTCATTCATCCTACCAGTAGGCGGGCCTTACATAGGGTGTACATAACAATGTTTTGAAAAACAATCTATTTAATTTGGCAAATTGATATAGTTAAAAATATCATCCGATAAAATCGGTTTATTTTAATGTTTTAGAGAATTAACCGCTAAAAAAGCTTATTATTTTATTTTTTATTTTATGCACTATTTAATTAATGTAGACATAATAGAATGTGTGATGCATTAAATACTCATACTAAATACACTTTCTCTCTTTGGGTAGAAATAAGTGGTGTAATCAAATATATTTTTTTGGCCAGAAATTTCTCACAAACACATAAAAAAAAATTTCTTTCTAAAAACAATAACAGAAAATAGAATGGTTGTCGTGTATAACCAAAGGTAAATGACTAAATGGCATAAATAACTAGTTAGTTTATTACAATTAGCACTTAGTCATATGCAGAATAATTAAGAACACTAAAACAGTCTATAGATCTTTCACACCTACACAAGTCTGAAGCTAATATTTCCCCACTTCTTAAATCCACTGTCGGTGGATGGTATGGCTACCCAACTACAATAAATACATTCAAATTGATAAAACCTCTCCATGTAAAAGAGTGGCATTGGGGGTCTCCAGGATCTGTATTGTTCCCTTGGGAGACCCTGACATGCATGATAGTGATACAACAATAGGCTTCACCTTCTCAATAGTCTTGATGACAATGAAAAACACAACACGATACAGAACAATCATCCCCACAAGGATTGCAAGATCAACCCATTTTGAAATACTCAAGTCAACTTGCCATGTATTTCTTACAATCTCTTCACCACCAATGTAATTGTGTGAGCTTTGATTTGTGGCAAACCTTAGTCCTTCAAACTCGTTCTTGAGCAATCCTTGAAAGGCATATGTATGGAAGGCAACATAGTGTGATGGGTATCTCCAAAATGGCCTTGGAAGCTCATGTGGCATTTTAAAGAACCCGCTAATTAAAAGCATGATTCCTTGAATTCCAGCACCAGTTATGATACCCATTAGAAAGTTGGGAACAACACTAGCAACTATCATCATAAGACTCTCCACTAACATCAAACTAGAAAATAAAACACACAAGAAGTACAAAACGTGCTCGTATCCTTTCTGAAGACCAGCAAGGAAATAAGTTATAACTCCAGGAATCAGTGTAACCAACAACAAAAATGGGACAGAGGAAAAGGTGTTCCCAATTACAAACGCAGTGACACCATAATGCCCATTTTGTCTTTCTCGTTGAAATACCTGGGAACCAATATGGCAGAATTTTATTTTATTTTTTTCAGTGAATTCCTACTTTCTCAAAATTGAAAAAAAGAAAAACTTTATACTTATCTTTTCAACTTAGAATATGAATTTTTTTCTAAATTACCTCCATGTCTTCCACAAAGGAAGGGAATCCACCGATGGTCATAAAAGTTAGGAATGCAGACACAAATGCAAGAAGTGAACCTCTGTCCTGAAATAATCAAAAGTGATTGCACAATCAGAGGACATGGAGTAGCTAAATTTAAAGCCAGTTCAGTTTCAGTTATTCTATGTGACTCATTACTCATAGCTCTTCCTTTACTTTACCACTGTTACCTTAATTGAGCCATTACTTGTACCCAAATTATAGAAAACAGTGCCTAAACTTAAAGCCAATGCAACATATATGGCTAGGCGTAACCAGTAATAGCCTAGATCACGAAACATGTTCACAGACGATCTCTTTATAAGAACTAAGCACTGATTAAGGAAGCCTGCATGTCCTCTCTTCTTGTCAATTGAACTGGTTTCCTGAAACCCATTTAAATCCAATTAATGTCAATATTAATTTCGATCAAACTTAGGTATTTGCCATATATATGAGTGCTAGTAAGCCATGAAGGGTACCTTATCAGATAGTACTGCTACTTCGTTTTGAACTTCTTGGTTCCTTTCAGATGATTTATATGATGTCACAAGAATACGGATTGCTTCTTCTGTGGGTATTGTTCCAGTCCCTGCTAAACCCACCTCAATGTCCTGTGATAAATGTATTTAAATTAGATTTCTGTGAGTTTTCTCGGCTACTAATAAGAACCAACTCCAAAACAAGTTAGGTTGTTCAGTGAAGGCACTTGAATGGGGTAAAGCTTAGCCACATAAACAAATTTGTGTTGAAATTTACTTTTTATTAGAAGAATGGAGAGGTAATGATCCAACTCTAAATTTACTTTTTTTCCTATTACATATGGGTAAAGTGTATGTCATTATAAAGGATGTAAGGTTGTATTATTTTAAGAGAGAGAAAGAGATAGATAAAAGAGTAAAGATAGTTGACAAAAAAAAAGTGTGGGTCCTACCTCTTTGTGAGAGTAAAAGGATATAAGTTGTGTCATTTAAAATGATAAACATTTTTCCCTATATACATATATAGGAAAAAATATGTGTCATTTTAAAGGATGTAAAATTGTGTCATTTTAAGAGAGAAAAAGAGATAAATAGAGGAGGAGAAAAAGTTGACAAAAAAAAATAAAGATATGGGTCCCACCTCTTTGTGAGAATGAAATGACATAAGTTGTGTCATTTAAAAGGATAAACATTTTTTTCATATATATTTATATATATATATATATATATCATGTAATAGGAAAAAAATTATTTTTCTCCAGACACAAAATTAGTTGGGGTCCACTGATTTTTTGTTCTCTCTCTCTTCTAAATTTGTGTCTACAAGAAAAACTAAAATTTTTCTGTTACATGATACATATATATATATAAAGGTATTCGTGGTCTGGATTAGATCGATTTTGGAAGCAAAAATCATCTGATCCAATCCCGTTGATTTGATCATGTAATCATCCATTCAGTTTGATTTTTTTCCAAATTCGTTCCAATTTTATTCGGTTTGGATTGGATCTGTTTGCGATATTTTGAAAGCCTAAAATTTCAGTCATACAAATCACTAGCTATATCAAAATAAAGTCATATAAAGTTACACACCGCTAGATCTTTTCATGTCCACAAATCAATGTTGTAATATATTCATATAATATGCAAATAAAATATCTTTTATATGTATTGACTTTGTAAAATTTGTATGATAATTATTGTGCACGGTAGAAGTATCAGTAAACGATAATCTAATTTTCAATACAGTACAATAAAAAATTGAACTATCATTTTTTTCCTCCAACAAAAAGTTGATGGGTTAATGGGTCTTGGTTTAGAATTTTGCTATTGGGCTATGATTGAGAAATAAGTCCAAGTAGGTAGTGGGTAAGGTTGGTGAATCATTGGATCGATTTGGATTGAATCAGTTTTCACCCACCAATCCAAAAACTAATCCAATCCAATCAAATTTTGTGGTTTTTCTTTTGGTTTTCTGTTTTTCGATTTTCGGTTAATTCGGTTATCGATTTTTCGGCTCGGTCATCATGGTTTGAATCGATTTGGATTGGTTGATGAACACACCTACATATATATCCCATATATATATATGAGTCCCCAACTTCTTATGTTGTAGGAGAAGTTGTATACTAACGATAATACATAGTTGTAATATTAAAGTTAGTTTTTCTCTCTCTGCCAATGCCAGCCAACAACCTCTGAAGAGAGAGGAAAAAAAATAGCTTTTAAAATTATAACTATGTACTATTCGTAGTACATGGTGTTAACTCATTGCAGCAGAAGAAAACTTCTCCTACGAAATGAGAGTTATATTTCCATAAGTTTTGTTATTTTAAATGATATTATTTTGTGTCATTTTTTAATTAAATTACGTCATTTTAATGTGATTTTACTATATTTTTTTTTACATTTTTTCTTTTTTATAAAATTTGGAAAAAAAGAAAGTGGAGGAGAGAGAATGCAAAAATATATCATAACGCAGTTTCATTAAAAATGATAAAAAGTTGTTATCAAAAAAAAAAAATGATAAAAAGTTGTGTAATTTAAATTGACAAATATTTTTTCATATATATATATATATGTATATCCTCTTGTTCATCGATTATTTAACTAATTCGGTTTGAAAACTATTGGACCCATTATTGAGGGGCTCTTTTAAGATTATTTTCTCCATTTTCAGGGCTCAAACATCCGTCAGGGAGAAGAAGCTTCTTACCACTTGAATTAATGATTATTGGTTGTTCATTAAAAAAAACTTTGATATTATATCAAGAATCAAGTTTTCCAAAAGATTAAACTCGTCAGGCCAAGACATGAATGATTCTAACAATTACTGAACAAGAATGAAATCCTTTAAAAGGCACCAATCCCATTGAGTTATGGTCAGTTTACCTGATCGAAATCCTTGTTTATAGTTTTCAGTAAATGATCAGATGGATTTTGGAGAGCAGGACAAGGAAAACCATTTGAAGCGAAAAACTACATCAAAACAAAAACAGAATTACTAAGTGGACATGAAAACATAAAACTTTGTAATGATGTATATAAAATGGGCTATTT